ATAGAGATTAACTAACGATAGTCTATTGTTATTAACTTGAAAAATATATACCATGTGTATCATTTTTCATACAAAATCCACACTTAATCCAAATAAAAATATGAAAAAAAGATTCTATGAATCTAAGTGTAAACACACTATTATACGATTTTAAGTCTGACAACATTGAACCGAAATCACTAAAGACTGGATTAAATACACTTTGAGAGCTTTATTTTTTATTTAAATTAAATTAAATTAAGATTTTATTAAAAATCCAACCTTTATATACTAAATTAATTTGAACAAATATCGAAAATAAATAACATAAAACAAAAAAAATTTAAAACAAAATTACATCGAAAATAACCTTTTTAGATTTTTATATTTTAATAAAATACATTTCTGTTTTGTCTGAAACCAGGCAAATACCTTTAATTCTAAATCGAGAGCTCCTACCACTATGTTATCTGATATCAGCAACTGCTCAACAAGTGTCCTTCTGATATTCATAAGGGAAGCTGAATGCTTCTTCTTGATTTATTTTTGAAAACCCAAATTGTTGTACTATTAGATTTATTATACTATTAGATTTATATTAGAAGAATCTTGTATCTTTAACTAAAGGGGACTGGAGACTTATAAGTTAATGTAGTTTATAAAATAATAATTCCATTTGGTTAACTTAAATGGTTGTTCAAATAAATTATATTATTAGCTCACTGTATGGGAATGATATTTAAAGAGATTGCAGTTGAACTTTTTCTGTTAAGAATGAGGTTAACGTGTTGACATTTTAGTTAGTTAATTTTGATATAAAATTTTGATAACCACTTTTGAATTTGGTTCTTTTGAGGTGATTATTAACACAAAAGATTTTTCATATTACAAGTGCTCTGCCTCAAGTCTAACATTTCTTTCGTATTATCTTCTTCTAATGTGGAATATTCAGCAAAGAATTTCTGTATTTAGACTGAGGCTAGCATCTTAAACACTGCTTGTTTTCATATTAAACTTGTAACTATTATGCTATAACTGTAACTATAAGGTCTAAGTCTAGATGTTTGAAAAAATAGTACCAATGACAATTTTATTTTGCCAGAACTAATTTATGCTTATACATGTTAACAATATTTTCTTTCTTTTCTACTATAGTAATTAATTATTTATTTATTTTTTATTTATTAATAATGATAGTTTAGTTTATAAAACTAATACTAACATGTATAGATATAGCTCTGGCTACTGAGGCCTTCAGCTATGTGTTATGATAAATTAATACTAAATGCTTATTATTATACAGCTATATAGGATGTTTATACAATATAATACTATAATACATGATATGGTATGATAAATTAATACTAAATGCTTATTATTATACAGCTATATAGGATGTTTATACAATATAATACTATAATACATAAATTTATCCAATGCCATCTTATTTTGATAAATTTTGATAAGTTAGATAGAATAACTAATATATACATTTTTTGTACGTATTCTATGCCATCCTAACTGTGACCTTAATACGCGTATATATATTAATATTATTTTGTGAATGAGTTTATCGTTCCAAATTTCTTAATAATTCAATATAATATAACTCATTTACAATATACCCAGAAGTAATTTATCTTAGTTTTTTTAATTTATAAATTTAATAACATAGAAATGTGAATAATATGTGTGAATGTGTTTTAATCAGCGAACATTATATTTATGCACTAAATCGTTTCTAAATAAAAAATAAGTGAAGAACTTGTGTTACTACGCTCGTCACTTGTGAAGCTTTGACTTACAAATACTTCTATAATCAATTATAAAATAAAATATACTAATGTAAAATTTTTTTACTATTTTCCTAGGCGCAAGTATTGGTAAATAATGCGTTGGAAAATCTAAATATCAAACAAAACCAAAGCTGACACTCACATACAGTTCTAAAACTCGTTCTATACTATATTACCAACTGTATATATTAGAGAAATGTTAAAACGAAAGATAGATATGCGAATTTTTATATTAAGTGCTTTAATTAGCCTAAACCTACATGTAATAAGTGGTGAGTAAATATAAACCATTTTAGCCGTAACTCCACCCATGACAGAGACTTCACATCTAACTATCTGCAAATTCCACAAAATTGTAGCTCAAACAACCTGCAAGAATGGCTTGGGACGTGTACTCTACGAGCGTTTACCTAATCAGCAACTGCAAGGCTATGACGATGATGTTGTACGCGATACAGCACCACCTTTTCGTGTGTTAGAGAAATGTCAAGATCTCTGCCTACGCGATCGTACCGGTACAAATAATTTAGTGCGCACATGTACTAGTTTCGACTTTCAGCCAGGCAGTCGCATTACATCGTTTGGCGGTAATGAGTACGAAGAATCGCTTTGTTACCTAACATCCGAGCAAGCCGGACCTGAGGGTATCGGTAGCTTAATGCTGGTGCCAAACAGTGTACACTTCAATGAAATTTGTTTGACATGTAAGTGAGAATAGCGGCAGGGAATCTAAACTTATATTAAAAAATATATTATATTAAAAAATAATGATATATTTATTACATTTTACAACAGCCAGTCGTCCTGAAAGAGAATGCCCGAGTCGTCGTTACGTCTTTGAGCGCCATCCACGCAAAAAATTGAAACTGCCCATTTCGGACATAAAAGAGGTTTGCTTATACGCTTACATGCTTGAGTTAAATAGAAAGAGTTTGACATTAAAATTATGTATTGCGTTGATATGTTATATTATGCCAATGATTTATTGCATTATCTTGTTTCTGTTCTGTGTCTTATTATTATTTCTATCTTTTCTTCCTATTTTTACGAATAACAAATCTGCAGATTACGGCGGCAAATCGTTCAGACTGCGAAGACAAGTGCCTGAACGAGTTCTCGTTTGTATGTCGTTCAGCAAATTTTGACTCTACGATGCGTTCCTGTACGCTAAGCAGGTTCGTATCTTTACATAATATAATTTTAAATTTAATAAATTTTATATACAATATTTAAACTGGTATCTAAGTGTGTTAATCAATAAATTATTCTAATCAAATAAATTTGGTTGGCTGAAAATAGATTCACACGGCGCACGCATCCAGAGTTAATGGAGGACGATGCGAATTCGGATTATTTGGAAAATACTTGTTTAAATGGTAAATTTATACATTTCTTTTATTTATTATAGCAAAAGAAGCAATAAAGAATTTTAAGTTTTATACAACACGAAAAATAATTAAGCTCACATATAAACGCTATTACTTAATTTACTAGCTTGCTTAACTCGTATTAAAAAAATCCGTAAGTTTGATATGTTTAAAGTATTAATTCTTCAGGACATTAAATTGATATTAAGTTTAAATAAATTTGAATTTCTTTTTTATATAAATCGCGGGCGGTACAAATATTGAACTACCTATATCTGCAAATCCGAGGTATTTAAAGCGCCAATGAAAAATTTTAAAGCATCCATATGATTTATCATGGATAACAAATATATTGAAAAACAAAAATCCCGTCATAATCCATAAAAAAAAACAAAAGTTTAAAAATATATATGTACTATGAAATAATTTCCTAAAATATCTGGAACTAACTCTCGAAACTTTACATTAAAAGTACATAAAAGACACAGAAGTTTACTACGCCCGACTCTCAACGGCAACAGATTTAGTATCAAAAACAAAATACGTGTATACAAGCAAATTATTAACCTATTGTACTCCTAAAAAACTATTATTTTGCCATAATATTCTAATGAAAAACTCTTAAATCCATTGTGTATCAAAATGGAAAATACAAACATAGACAAACATAGACATAGATCACCACTGATAAATATATTAATAAGAAAGAACTAAAATTTTTTAACAAGATAGATTGGCTTCAAATTATATTGATCGCCACAGAGTAGTCCCTTAAAAATGAAGGTAAATATTCACATATATGTTACCAATGCCAATATACTAAATCTTTTTTTTTTAAACACTGACCTCACTAATCTTAATTATATATTTCCACATTAAAGAGCAGAGCAACTATTTGGTACTAGCTGGCAACTATTTGGTATATAGGATAAGTAGATACACACAATTTTAAAAATAATATGACTTCTTTCATGAATATATTCTATATAAAATAAATTCCAATACTAATATAATATTTCTAAAAAATTTCTCATTATCTCATTGCTAATAGTAGTATCTGAAAATAGACTAAGACACATTCGTGACGCAGTAGATTATGTTAGTAACAGAACAATTTCTTCTTCATTTCTATAATTTTTTTTGATATGAAACATATAGTCAGCTATTAAAATTTCTCCATTTTCAAGATTATTGTTAAATATAATATTTTCGTATAGAACTATATATATTCTATATATATACATAGAACTAACAGTCTTTCTTTTCGACTGTTGTGCCTTTGAGTGCTTTAGTCAAATTTCAGCAGATGCTATAAAGTCTATAAAGTCTATAAAGTTCTATAAAGTTTTCTACTTTCTATTATATCAAAATACTAACTCAACAAACTGATAAAAAATTTTGGACGTATTTTGGGGTCATGGGAATAACAACTAACTTACAAAAGTTGTGAACTTCAGTTTCATATAAATGAACCGTTATACATAATTGCTTAACTATTTACTTAATCAATATGAATATATCCTTGTTATTTCTATAATCGACGAAGTTAAGCAATAGTACAATTTTCATGAAGTCATAGTTACGAAACTTTGTTTAGTACGAATTAAGTTTTCTTTATGAAAAGATTCTGTGCTACACTGAGAGTATGAAATAATACAAGTATTTAGATACAGATAACTTTCCATTAGTTTACTTAACTTACGATATTATTGAATTATAACTTAAAACTATTATATTAAATCAAACTATGATTTCAAAATTGAATATGCCAATATGCCATTCGTTAAAAAATATCATTAATTCATTCATATCTTCTTACATTCATATCTGCTGTTCTCACTCTCTTAAAGTAATCAAGTCTATAATTATTCAATTAATCTTGTCACAAAAATTAATATCAATTTTATTCTAGCTGAACGACGATGCGATGGGTTGGCTGTTTTCGTTAAGGAAGAAAACAAGCGTTTGGGCGGACCATTTGAGGTTGACATATTCCACAACATGACTTTGGAGGAGTGTCAAACGATGTGTTTGCGTGCTGAAAAGTAAGTCATCATGTGAAGTATCTGAATATTGATTGCCAGTACTTATTTATTTTATTTCAAAGGTATTTTTGTCGTTCAGTGGAGTTTGATGATCAAACAAAACAGTGCATACTCTCAGAAGAAGATTCAATATCACAGAAGGATGACATAAGCATAAGCTCCAGTCCATCCCATAATTTTTATGATCTTGTTTGTCTTGATAACCGTGAGTAGATGCCATGCATCACTTGTGTGCATTAAATTAGCTAAAATGCTGCATCTAACACCTGCTAAACCAACTTTAAAAAAGCATAAATAAAACCTTTGCAATATTCTGTAAACACATAGCATTTTTTTTTGTTTTTTTTTTTGCTTAATTTGTAGAACGTGCTACCGATTACCCTGATAACTCAGTCACATCGCATCTATTTTCGAGCGGGCGTCGACCAGATACTGCTTTTCAACGTTACCGCAATTCCAGACTTGGTGGTGAATTTCATTCTGAGATAACAGGACGTTCACTAAGCGAGTGCTTAGATGAATGCCTAAGGCAAACTAGCTTCCAATGCAGGTTTGTTCGCTAATTGAAAGCTCATTTATCTCTAGAAGATTTAAGTCTACAAATATAAATACGCTAGCACTAAAAATTCTAGGAACCATAATCGAATGATCTTAGCTTGTATTTTTAGTGTTTATAGTCAACGCCTACTACAAAATAAGTCGCATTAACGCGACTTATTTCTTACTGCAGCAATTTAAAGTAACTTTATTTTCTTAATTGGATTATTTTAGATCGGCTGTGTACAGTGATCGCTTTCGTACTTGCCGCTTGAGCCGGTACAATCAAAAGGATGGCATGCGCATTATATATGATGCCGATTACGATTACTACGAGAATTTAATGCGTAAGTGCTCAACTAACTATTTCAGTACAAATTAGTGATAACACTTAATAAATTTGCAGTGAATGTTGTTGGTGGTGGAGATGATGGCCACAGTGGTACTGGTACAAATAATGGCCATCGACCTGGTGACCAAAGTGGAACAAATTGGCGCCCACCAAACAAAGATGATGATCGTTACGGTGGTAATCGCTTTGGGCAAAATAGTGGTGGCAATGACGTCGGGCGACCATATGATCGCTATCCTGAAACAAATCCTAATGATTACGGTAAATACATTTTATTTATAAAATAGAATAGAAAATTAGATTAAAATTATTGTTTAATTGCAAATTATTACACAAATCCCAAACTAATGAAAATATAATTTAAAAATAATTAAGTGACTAGCTTGAATTTATGTACACATACACGCTCTAACGTATATACTAACACTTTAACGAATAACATTATATAGATCGTTATCCTATGGCTGGTGGACCAGGTGGACCAGGTGAGCGATACCCAGGTGATCGATATGGAGGCGATAGAGATCGAGATCGTGGACGTTATCCAACCGGTGGTGGAGGCGTATATGATGATGAACGTTACCCTCCAGATACAGATCGTAATCGTTTTCCTGCAGATCGTGATCGTGACCGCGATCGTGATCGTTATCCAGACAGAGGAGCTGGACGTTATCCAGATGATGAACGTTATCCTCCCCGTGATCGATACGCTGATCGTTATCCCGATAGATTTGGTAGTGATGGTGATCGTAATCGTGATCGTGATCGTGATCGTTATCCAGATCGATACCCAGATCGCTTTCCAGATACTTATGGTGATCGCGATCGGGATCGTGAGCGTTATCCAAATGATGGTAGATATCCGTCGCAAGATCCTTATCGACCATACCGCCCATTAGACCGCTTCCCACCTATAAGGGATAACAGCTTACCAAATGATTTGCCGCATACACGTCCATATCCACCTGGTGAAGATAATTTATATAGACCCTATGGACAAAGTGGTGGTTACCCAGATGATCGTTATGCAAATCGCTATCCATCGCGCTATCCAACTACTCGTGAACCAATTGGTGGTTACAGTGGGCGAGATGCGCCTGATAACATATTTCCTGATAGACGTTTTCGTCCTTCATCATATGATTCAAGAAGGTATCCACTTATACGTGGCGGCTCTGTACGTTATGATGCAGATGGTCGATATCCAACTGATGACATAGTACATAGTGCACACAGACCTGAACCTGATTCAGTAAAGCGTTTTCCACCAGCACCACTTGTGCCACCATTAACATCTAACAAATATCCAACTTCTCCAAATCGATTCCCGGTAGGTAATGATCGTTATCCAATCGACATATACAAATATGGTAATCGATTTGGTGCCAGCGGTGTCGAACGTCCAGGTATGTTAGTAACAAACAGAAAACTAATCAACTACCATGAAAATTAACAGAACGACCATAAAACAGAATGATGCATGTTTAACAAGTTTTTATTTAGGTTATGATCGACCTCCACCCTATTACGATCTAGAATATGAAGATCGTTATGATGACAGATATGGTCGTCCATATGATCGTGAGTATGATGTGCCGATAGGTCGACGTCCAATTGCAAATGGTGGTTATCCACCATTCGAAAGTCCTTTCAACCGTCCATACCATGGTGGAGCCTTACCACCATTAGCAGATGATCGTCCATTACCGGGTGGCATACCACCACCGCCTGGGTCACATTACGGTGGAGGACTTGGCGGGGGTGGTGCACCACGACCGCCAATAACACGTTGTGAAGAGAGTGATAACTTTAAACAAGTTGCAGCAAGGCATAAAATGCGCAGACATTTTGTGCGTCGTGCTTTAACTGTGCCATCTTTGATACAATGTGAACGTGAATGTATTGAAAGTAGAGATTTCGTATGTCGCAGCTTTAATTACAGGTGAGTTGGCTATGCTTACATAGAAAAAATCTATACCATACAATTTTAAAATTGTAAAATCTGCAGAGATGCTGCAGCTTCTGGTTATGACGAACGCGATTCACCCAACTGTGAATTGAGTGACAGAGATTCACGTGAGTTAGATGTACATGATCCAAATTCATTTGATAGCGCCAATTATGATTTTTACGAACGTAGTTTGGGACGAAGTGACGGAGAGTGTATGGATGGTAAGAGCCTAATAATAAAAAAAAATTTGAATAAGTAAATTAAAATATAAATAAAGCAAAATATATTGGCATATATCATTAATAGTAACCCAAACATGCAATGAGGAAGGAATGGAGTTTACAATACGTACACCAGAAGGCTTCATAGGACGTATTTACACCTACGGCTACTATGATAGGTATGAAAATCAGATAAAGTAATTATATTTTCTTTTATATAAAATTTATTTAGATGTTTTTTCCGTGGTAATGGCGGCACAGTAAATGTTTTGCGCATAAGTGGACCACAGGGTTATCCAGACTGTGGAACACAGCGAGTAAGTAGAATTTATGGGCTTTTCTTTGAATATATTAAAATGTAGTTGATTTATTGCCTTTTAGTATGGCGACACCTTAACCAACATTGTTGTTGTACAATTTTCTGATAATGTGCAAACAAGTCGTGATAAACGTTATAACTTAACGTGCGTTTTCCGTGGACCTGGAGAGGCAGTTGTCACATCTGGTTATATTGGGGCAGGGTATGTGAAATGTGCTGTAAAGCAATGCATACAAAGCTTTTTTCTAAACTGTTGCCATAGACCAAACATAGCATAGCTAATATGTTGTTTTTATAATATATGAAGGTAATAGCTAAAAGGATGAGTTTTATAAATATTTTATTAAATAATAATTAATATAAAAGTATAGAGTTTTACTTTAAATAAATAATTAACTTTCAATTAAATAGTAAAGTCTGTAGACTGAAGTCTGTAAGTATTTTTCAAAAAGTTTGTACAAAATTTTGTACGTCTTTTTTAAGTATAAAAAAAATGCAACAAAGTTGCCACATAATTTGTTTATATCTATACAGTCCATATTTGCTTGCATTCTTGACTATTTATTGTGTTTTGAACTATGTTCAGTCTATTGTGCAACAGTCTAGGAAATCCATTCACTCTTATGTATTACATATTGCATACTTTTAGGCTCAATCTAAGTTTATTGTTGAATAAAAGTAAAGTTTATATGTAGTTCAGTCTAGAATTTAGCTTAGAATTCATAAATGGCAACGTAGTTTAGTGTTTAGTAATTTAGTTTCGCTTTTCTATTAACTTTTCTATACCAAAATCTTAATTTTAAGTAGATGCAACTAATCAAAGTAAATTTGTAGTATTTTCAAAAACAAAATGAAATTTCAAACGAATTGCTTGTTTAATCACTCAAATTCGTTTAAATATCATTTCGTTACAATATTCACTTTGTGTTTCTGAAAAAAGTCTTATTAATGATGATAGATCTGGCAGCCCGATACCAATAGAGTATCTGCCCGCCGAAAACACCTTAAGCTCTAAGGTACGTTTGATGATTTTGTACCAAGGCAGACCAACGACAACAATTGCAGTTGGTGACCCACTCACATTCCGTTTGGAAGCACAAGATGGATACAATCATGTGACAGATATTTTCGCAACAAATGTCGTAGCTAGAGATCCATATTCAGGACGTAGCATACAGCTCATCGATCGCTTCGGGTAAGTACAATTGATCACAACAAAAAAGTTATAAAAAAAGCAATGAAACATAAAACATGTATTCAGTTGTCCGGTGGACCCTTATGTATTTCCTGAATTGGACAAATTGCGTGATGGCGATACGTTAGAGGCACGTTTCAATGCTTTTAAAATTCCAGAATCTAATTTCTTGGTCTTTGAAGCTACTGTACGAACTTGTCGTGATGGCTGTCAGCCGGCGTATTGTCCTGGTCCCGCAGGCCGGCAAGAGCCGTCATTTGGCAGAAGACGACGTTCATTAAATCATACTGAAATTATTACTGATATGGAAAATACTGTGGCAGAACAATTAATAGACGATGTCACAGAAATCAATAGCACTACAGTTACTACATCTACAATGGGGGATATTAAGAAAAGTAAGTATCACCTATTAAATTTAGTCAATTTTTAAACTAGAGTCTATAAACTCTTATGGGTGAAAAGTATAAAAATGTTTCAATTAAATAAATTAAACAAAATTCACTAAAATATTTCAAGTCAGTCGTTTACGAATAGGAAAGCTTATAAATACTATAAACCATTTGCTTAACCAATGGCGGCATTTAGGACATTGGACTACAAAGGTGTCTAAAATAACATTTAATAATAGAAAGAAGATCATGTGATAATGGCCCAAGCACTCTCCTCCAGCAATCGAAAAAAAAAATTAAATAAAATGATTTTATGTAGTTATTTATACGATAGATAATAATATGTAATAAGTGATACTTTAATGAATATAGCATTGCAGTAACATTTTATTATAAATTGTTTGTTGATAGAATTTACAAAAATTCTTCAATGCCCCTTCTCTCTGACCTACTTCTTGGGATTGCACATGCGTTCCCAATAAGATTAAGACTAAACTTTAAAATTTATTTTTATTTAGTACTAAATAAACAAAAGTATTAAAATAATAATAAATTGTTTATTTAAATAAATATTTTATTTTTATACCTTCCTATCCCAAGTGTTTATAGATTCATTTCTTATAGTAATTAAAAAGCCGTTTTTCAGTATTTTTTTTTTTTGCATTTTAGTGCTATTGGGTAGCATTTTTAACTTTTTTTCACATTTATGGTCATATTAACTAATGTTCAACTTTTGCTACTTATACATTAGTTCAAAAAATTAATATTTTATTGAAACTATTTCTTAAAACATTAACATTTAATTAAATCAATATTTATTTAGATGCGACTGAAGCTGCAGAAAAACCTATAGAAGTAGAAGAACCAGAGCAAGTGAGAGAAATGATTGAGGTATAAGTTCTGTATAATGTATTATTGTGTGTTCATATATTTATTAAAATTAATTTTTTTTAATTATAACTTTTAAGGTTTTCGAAACGCGAGAAGAAATAGAAAAGGAATCTTATCCACGCAAATTAGTAGCACCTATGGAAACGGTTTGTATGTCGCCATCAGAATATCATGGATTGATAACAGCTATCATATTACTAATGATATTGCTGTTTAGTATTACATTAGTTTCTGGACTGGGCTATAGGTGAGTAGATATTTACTTTTTGAAAATTACCATGAAATAAATAGTTAATTACTTAACCATAAGAATTTAATAGGTAGTATTTAGTAATGTAAAAACTGACAACAATCATACTGCATATACGTAACATACATTAGAGTAAATTACTAATCGCCCTTAACCAGTATCTTCAAATCAATATGTTTTAATTGATGTAATAATTTGGGATAGTAATAGTATAAATCCCACTTATTTAATCCAATAATTTTTTTTAATTCTCTGTAATAAAAAATATTGAACATTTGAACAATAATAATAAAGCAGACATACTAGTATTTCTATAAGCAATAAGATTCTAAGCTTCTGAAATTTCACAATATCATTAAGTCTTCTAAGTGTTTTTTTAAGAAATTTTTTTACGACTTGTTTGATCCGAGGGAGATATCGCATTTCTCCCTCACCAATCGTATCTGCAGCATTTTCTAGTAACCATTTAGCGGTTGCATACTCTAGGGCTATTAACTTCCTCAAGAAACAGTTTAGTGGTTGTCTATTTATATTAAATAATAACGCTTGCAATATAAAATTAATGTTCTTTTACTTTAAATTATTAAAAAAGGTTTCAATATAGATGATACTCTTGATATAGATAACCCATTAAAGTTTTACTTACGCCATTTAAACCATTCATATTCAGCAAACAGGATGTCATTAAAAATTTTTTAAAATCAAACGTTAAATATTCTTGGTATCTATAATTTTCACTTTATGATCCATACTATTATACTATTATATATATATATATATATATTGCTGTTTTCAAGCCATAACACATTTCATGCATTATCATTTCATATATTTATAAAAATATTTGGTTCAAATGAAATGGTTTATTTCATTTCAAAGCAAATTTTCATTATATTCCGGAGTTTACCAATTTAAATAGATTCTTTTAAAAGTTTTAAAAATTAATTTAATTACAGACGTTATTGGAAGACAATGTCTAAAAATCGTATCGCAGATCGTCATTCACCGATCCATTCACTTGGTGGACTTTCTTCTTCTATTCGAACACATGAACGTTTTAGTGAAATAGGTCAATCGACTAGTGGAAACTCGAATACGACAGCTAATCGTACTGCAAATGCTTTCCGGACAAACATGTCCATGTTCGGAGGCAGCTTACACAAAACATTTGCTACTGGGTATGTACTATATATATGCATATGATATACACATTTTTTATGGTTTAATTTTTCGACCAAATTTTTTTTAGAAATCTAGCGCGTATGTGTCAATTACCAGTTATGAATCCTATGCGCAGTAATAACAACACCAATCATCAGTTTGAAGACCCCAGTGAACCAATTTATACTGATCCATCACTGTTTGAGCGTTCGAGGTTGGTACAATATAAATGGTTGAAATGACAAACTTTGAAACACTATATAAACTTGTACGCATATCTATAAATGTATAATTAGTAAAATATAATTTAACGGAACTTCAAATTAAAACCTAACATAAATTTATATTAATATCCTTATAAACAATTAAACCAAAATACATCTACATAAGCTCGTTAGTAACCTTTTAATAGAAGACAGAAGTATATACTATATATGTTACGTTTATGGTTTCAAAATTTATTTAGAATTATTTATCATTTTTACATTCGCATATATTTGTTTTGTTCTGATTAATTAATTTTCTTTAATTTACATAATGATGTATTATATTCAATTCGATTCGCCTATCACAACTGTAGACAAAGACAATTCTTGGCCTTGTTACAGAAACCGCCTCTTCCACCAATAATTTCACATTTTATTTGGCACATGTCACCTTGTTCCTCACAGAGATTGGGAAACGAGTGTACTACTGTAAAAAAAAGATTAATATTTATTTTTTTTAAGTTATAGGTTGTTTTTTCTTAATAACAATTATATTTATAATGTATATTAATATACATAAATATACATATTTGAAATGAAATTTGAAGAAACGGCCAAATAAGTGGATTAGTTCCCAAAATTTATTCATAATATCGTAGGACTTAGATTAAATTATATTCAAAATTTATGTTGGAGTAGATGACAGTGATATAAAAATATATATAAAAAAAATAAAATAATCTAAGCAAAAAAATATAAGAAGGCATTATAGAAAATAATTTTGAAAAGGAATATGAAAAAGACGAATACAAAAAATAAAAGTTAATAACAGAAAAGAATAGAATGCAAGGGAATGAAACATATTAAAAGTAAATGTTTGAATAAAAAGAGTTAATAAAATAAAAAAAATTGAAATAGAAAAAAGAGAATAAATAGAAGAAATAGATAAATAAATTTAAAAAAATGTGATAAAGAATATATAATAGTAAAGCATGACAGAGAAGAAACTCTAAGAATATATAAACAAAAAAATTAATAGAATAAAAGAAGTATAGAAATTTCTAATGAACAGAAAAAAGTGAATGAACAAATTCTTCAGAATTAGAAAACAGATAAATTTAAACAGAATATTAGAATATATTAAGAATATTATATATTAAGAATACTAAGAATATTAGTAAAATAAAACGATAATGGATATGTTATAACATATGTTTTGAACTAAAAAAATAAGGTAGAATAAAGCGGCATATAGTGACGATTGAGATTAAAATAAAGACAAATGAGGTCATCTAATATATGGTATTTGGTGATACATAAAAAACTATATACAAAATTTTTCCCATACATCTTTTCCATTTAAATATTAGCAAAATGCTTCAGTTACTTGATACTACGGGACTGCTTAAGAGTTTACGAAACAAATATGAATCATGATTATCATAATTTAAATCATAATTAAAACTTTATTTTATAATAATGCCAATATTGTGTATTTGTCAATATTGTAACTTCGGTATCATTACTTTACTGATAATCCAATTTATGGATCTTGCCTTTGAAATAAGTTTACAGAAGATCAGCAAAATACTCTTCTATATTAACTATTAGTTTTCATTTGATCAAATTCGGTTTTTACGAAAGAATTTTGGAAAATGTAAGAAAAGTCAAAAAGAGCAGTTCAACTAATAATCACAATTAGATAGCGTGCCGCGAACTTCTTGAACAACCTATCATAATAGGTGCTACTACTAATGATAATATAATATAATATATATATATATATATAATATAATATAATATATTAAAATATATAATATAATATATTATAATATATAGTATAATATATTATAATATATAATACGTTGTGCAAAAGCATGGACGACCACGTAATTCTTGGCGTAGAATCATAAACAATGAAACGAATAAATCGATAGATCAATTGAGATATATCGGTCGAAATAGGCAAAATTGGAAAACTTTTATACAAACTCATTGTGAATAGGCTAAGTTTATAAAATCAAATATTGTACAGAACATGCCATAATAATAATATATAATATATTATATTATATTATATTATTATATTAATATATATATAATATAATATAATATATTATACGATATAATATAATATGTAATGTGACTTACAATTGATAGATAGTGTATATAGTATACATGCATTGCATACTCGTATATGTATAGTTAAACCGTTCTCTTATCAGAGCGTACCAAATATCTTTAATGTGTTATTGAAAAAGATACGACATCTACTATCTATTAATTTATTTATCACCAATGTTAAAATTTTAAACAATTTTATATGTTTCTATAAATAATTTTAATTTTAATTTTTTAATTATTTTATTTTAATCAACACAACCAGACTATCTATGGATGGATGTACGAAACAAATATATGATATAGTATTTTCAAATATTTACCCAAACTTCTCGTCATGACAAAGCATAGAATAGTTAAGATTAATATGAATTTTATCCGTAAAGAAAACATTCGACCCGTTTTATTGTCTATTCAAGCCAAACTATTGATAACAAATTTTTTTCTTCAAGCTTCGAAACGAAAAAACCGCGCAGTATCTGAGTTGAGTTAAAATTCATAACTGATTACTGTATTTGAAAATAAATCTTTGAATTTCAACAATCTCATTTAATAGTCTAAACTGCAAACATCACGAATTGAAATTTTGGTTTTCTTTTCAGTTTCTTATCAAAGCGATTCCATGTTTTGAAACTTGATTTCATGCATTTTTTATTTTTGCTCCATTGAAAGTTAGCTACGACTATCTCAGCTATCATCGCAAAATATTTTTATATTATAAGATTATATATACACGTATTAAATAGTGCCATATTTATATATTAATCATTTGCTTTGAAGAAATTTCATTATTTAAATAAATAATAATTGCAGAAATATTTGATTTTGCATGGCAATTATAATTTACGCCACTTCAATTAATTAATACATATTAAACATGTATCTTTAATATCAATGTTATATATTAATATATATCTCTAGTTTATCTAAAAATTATTCACTTAGTAGTATAAAATATAAGAAATGTAGATATATATTTTGTAGATATAATTTTGTTAACAAGAACATTAACGTGCTTGAATTAAAATGATAAAAATCTTATGTTAACATAAGATCTTAATGTTAAAACAATATCTTATGTTGTTAAAGACTTGTGTGAAAGAGATGAGAAACTGATAGTCAATTTTTGTCATTTACTTTATATAGTTATTATCGGTATAAACATCGAAATGTAAACGATACTTAGTTAGATAGAATATAATAGAAATAAACAGGGTACCGTCTCTTAACGGAGCGGAGCATCACGACCATAGTTGATCCTTTGTGTTGCAACAGACTCTAATCGAATAGAAGACATTCCTTTGTACGAATGAAAGCCAAAATGTCAACCGTTGCTGACCTCCTGATGTCAGAATGGGAAAGTGGGTATCAAACTAGTTTCGTCTGCTTCTAAGTAAAGTCAACAATCTATCTCTTCGGACAGACCTATTTTGTTAAAGCGATAACGTAGTACGTGGTGACCCGTTAAATATCCTGCCAGCAGTCTCAGCTCTGTTCTACTGAGAAAGGATACCTTACCGTAACAGTAAGGACGTTGTTTACATATACTGTATAGTACGAGTGAACTAGATTTCTTTTTTAATTGTTGGTTAATATCCTAAAAATATTTTTAATGTTAAAAATATTCATAAAGAGATTTTTAAAATTTTTTGTTTTTAATTTCTATTGTTTTTTTAAGTTTTAACTTTTCTGGTGCTGTTAGCTGACACTTTTAGACTTGTGATTTTCCTTTTTAGCTTTTAGTTGACATTTAATTTTAATCTATATAATTGAGTACAATTGCACTTAGCGGTATGCTTACGTACAATGAAGAGATTTATTTCGTAATTCATGTAATTTTAATTTTGAAAGGCAATTTATATCATATTATATCAAATAGTAAAGTTATAATTGGCTCTGAATTCAACTATTAGAATTCCTTACCTAGAAGTTTGAGAAGTTCTACTTTGAGCGAATGGCATAATGTTTTCTGTATCAACGGAAATGTTGATGAACTGGTGAGAGGACGATCTACCACAATCGGTTTTGACAACACTGGATGTAGCTCAAGAGTATGTAAACATTAAAGAACATTAAAGAAAGTATCGGATCTTGCCTTAAAATCCGCGGACTGGATACAATCTTAAGAGAGCATTATTTTTGATAAATAGAAATAAAAGAAATATCACCAGGCTGACTATAAGTATTACTGGCTTCTGTGCTATTGGAGAACATAGGAATTCCTCATGAAATTTGCAATCCATTGTGTAATTATCCAGAAGTAAAAACAGTATTTTTTAATTTCTCTGTATATGCTCTGCTTTCTGGAAGCAGAAAACAGCCACTCTAGATAAATCACTCTTTAAAAATCGTAGAGACTAGCAAAAGCTAATTTAGGTATCTTTAGTAGTTCAATCACCGCATGGTTTGAATCTAACCAATCTCCTTACACGAGCAATTAATTAAACAGTTGGAAAAGTGGATGTAGTTCGATAATGGCTGGAAAACCTCATGAACTGAGTCACCTGTTGAATCATTATATCTGTAGTGTGGTTTTTTAAATATATGAGTTAATAGTTTTAGTAAATAATACATATAATTAATATTTTTTTAATTTCGAGCATATTTCTGCTCAGTTAACTATGAGAAGAAATAACTTTGATATTCAAGAATTTGAACAAATTTTTAATCGTGTCTTTAAGCACATTTTACCGAATTTTTGAAAGTCTTGGTATTAAATTTAATTTTGGCATTTTTTTAACATTCTAGAATAGATAAAATAATTTCAAATTTTGCACATATCAACGTATTTTTTTGAAAATATTTTTAAACAGAATTTTGTGAATAATTGATAAAATTTTTTCTTATAGATCACTACGGAGTTTAACTATGGAAGGCGAACCAGAGGAACGGCATGATGTTTAGAACTTATCTATAATATATAAAAAAACTAAATAAAAACATATTTGCATTTTGCTAAGTTTACGTAGAATTAAGCTGAAGTACACCAAAAATTTAATTTATGCATTAATTTAGTTTAAAAAATTATATAGTTTTTTTTATATTTTTGCTATAAACAATAATAGTAATATATATGAGTACTACCTACATATATAAAAACTCTAAAGAATTTTCAATTATAATTAAAAATATTCTTATAAGCTAAGCAAAAACAATTTTAATATTTTCATGAATTAACTAAAATTAAATATAAATATTATGAAGGTAAAATAATGCACTCAGAACAAAACCAACATTGATATTATATATAAAATATTTTTATACAATAATACTAATAAATTAATTTAAAATTATTTAAACGCTCATACAGTTTGCATCTGTGATTTTGAATTTTTACTATAAACAAAAATGAATGAAATATTTTATTAGTAATGACTCAAAATGTAAAAGCAGCTCATATTCTTACATATATCTTTAATTATATATACTTAAATATAAAATAACACATTATAAATTTAATATACTAAAAACCATGTTCTTACATTTATGTAAGCAAGCATTTCCTAAAACAAAAAAAAATATATATAGTAAAAATGTTCATATGTAGACTTTTATTATAATATTTCATTAATGGTTTTTTTTTTCAATTAAATAAAAAGTACGTGTAGTTTCATTGATTTCCAGGTCTTATTTCATTTTCACATGTACAGAGAATACAGAGAACATGAAATATTTGAGGTATTCTATATATTTGTTTTCAAATGTGGTCGGAAAGCTATCGGACTTCATTTCGTTTGAGCAGCCAAACATACAAATCTGTAATAAGAAATACTCATTTCTTGAATGAATAATGCCGTTCTCAAGACGTATTTTAGACGTGTAATGAGCTAACATGAGTACACATGAAACAAGATAAAACTAATATTCCACTGAAATGACTTCGAAATATGTGCAGTAGACTATGTATTCACTTCTGTATGGTATATTGTACGTGCAAAAAGGTTTTGCCAAGATGTGAGACTAATGCAGATATGACAATATGAAGTTATGACAATGTGAATAATAAAAATTAATTGGAAAAATCTTATTATTAATTCCTTGGCATTCATACTCGTAGTATTTTAAAATAGCATTTACATAATTTTTAAAAATTGTTGCTTTAATAAAATCAACCGCTTATAATCAGAATACAGGAAAGATACGATTAAATCCAACTATATTTGTTAGATGCAATCAATCTTAATGCTTATCACGTGAGTATTAAAAGTATCATTTAAGACCATTCAAACTCGAACTCTTCAAGCCTTTCGGAACCTCTTAGCTTAAGCCATATTTCCTTTGCAAAGAGTATCGCCAATTCATCGCCATTTTGTTACTTTATCCGTTGCTACGTTGGCTCAATCTATGCTTACCACAGTAGCTCGATGTCTCTTTTCACAGATCAATCTTTCTCAAGTCGAAACGAACTGCGCATTGTATAAATATTTAAAACATTTTGTAAGAATCAATCTTCATATTTTGAATCAAAATTTATTTGAAAAGTTCAACTTTTAAGATTAGGTCTCAGAACACATTTGGGTATTTAATATGATTTATTTCACATATGTTAAAGCTTTGCTCTCTCTTTCCCCTTTCACTTAAATGAACTTCGTATTTATATTGTATTGTACTTTACATTGGTCTGCACTTACAGAGAAATAGGTTACTCTATGAGATGATGTGATTCTTGCATTCCAATCTTCACTTTCGTCCGCTTGGCTCATTATAGGATATTCTTCCACTGTTCATGCGGCAAGTAGTCTTTTCATGCAGAAATATTGAAAATAATAGATGCGACAACTGATTTTAAATATAATACATTAATATTCTATCTTAATGGCTTAATGTTTTTGTTTTATATTACAGTGATATATTATAATAAAAACATATAATTTGTCAAGTCAGTTGGGGCCCTATGTTTCAATGAGAGATACAGGAATTGATGAATTGTAACAGGAATTGATTTGTTAATCCTAATGGATTGCATTTTTTCAACTCGTTTATATACATCAATTTATTCCATTGACTTAAGTAATGGAAGTACCCACTTATTGTCGAATACCACCTAGTATACGCTCCGTTGAATCTTCCTGGTATCTCATTTTTTACTTTAATGAAATCAAAAATACACTTACTTCTAAAAATACACTTACTCCCAACTTTTATGACTTTAGAGGATCGTAGAGTTTGCTTTTAACTTCAAGAAAACTCTCACCTAATATTCTCACCAGATTCCCTATATATTTACTTAGTAAAAGCATAAAATTAAAAATATATAATGTATATAAATATATATATTATAGCCCATATCCAGTTATTCTAAGTGTGACTTAAAACTGTCCACATATAAATAGAGTAAAGTGCTGATTCACCAACTCAGACATCTGAATATCAAGAATATTAAATATGAATACAAAACCTATTGCTCGGCATTTGTTCTAACTTACTGGTTTTAGATTTCGGTTATTGATCTTGTATGCACCGACGATTATAATCTTTTTACATTTTATTTTCAATAGACAGTTGGAGGGGCTGACATTCTGATACTAAATCTTTTGATGCTTTTCTTTTGATGGTAGTAATATTGACCTCAATATTCGTAGAATTTTTTATTTAGAACAAAAGTTACACAATATAAACTAATATGTTCTTTATCAACCTGAAAAAAATCTGTAGTTTTAATTCTCTCTGGGTGTCAGTAAAGTAGTTTCTTAGTTTTTGGGCTAATAAAAATAAATTTTGTGCAAGAACTTTATATGAATCTAAACAACGAATATAGAAATAAATGGAATTGATAGACTTAGACTATCATTGGTTTAATTCATACAAAATGGATACGCATTGATTGATTGTTTAATTTAATGGCGACAGAGCTTCCTCTTCTATTCAATTAACGCATAAACACTGTTTTGAAAATATGCGTGACAAACCCGATTCATAATCGTAGTATTAATAGTGGTCTTAAATATAACCTACGCAGTTGATAAAAAAAATTTTTGTTGCGTTCTAAATTTATCCTGTCTTTAAGGTTTATTAGTTCGTAAACTTACATAATGGAATGTCTCAATCTTGGCAAACAAAATGCTCAATAGTTACTTTTTTCTTTTCTTTCTTGGAGTTTCCGCACTTTTGATTGAATGGAATACCCAATTCTTAGGCATGGATGTCCACTGGCTAAAGGCCTCTCCGATCTGCCACCAGTTTTGTCACTTCTATCTCGACTGTGCCTAGGTCATATTAGTTTGGATTCACACTGCCCATTGTAGCTTTTTTAATTATAAATAAAAAATTTTGTGACAATATAAAAAAATTATTAAACTTATAAATAGAATGTAAAGACAATCACATTTCGTCAAAATTGAAGAAACTATCAACATAAATTTAAAGGTTTTTTGTTTATTATATATCATATTTTATTATTAACTCAGAGCTTTTATTATTTGAAGCTTTTCAATAATGTAATGCAATACACCTAAATTTGTGATTAAAAAAATTTTTACAAATAATGTGCAGATAATTTTGAAAAACGTGACTTATTTTACTGAACAATTACTCTTAATAACTACATTCCCTTCAATATAACATAAAATGGTTTTGTATACTGAAGGTAAGCGCAAAGTAATGTTTGGTTCAAAGAAAGACACATCATGTGTGTCACCATTTCGAAGGGTTTCGATTTTTGTCCATATACTATATATTTGAAGTCATAAAACTAAAATTGACTTAAAAAATGACTTATAAATAAATAAATATTAATTTTAAATATTACTTTGTCCTATGCCATATGACGAATTGAATCCAAATACTGGGTTTTTGTAACAAACACGTGATAAATACGAGTATAACAGATATAAGTGGTTAATATTTTTGTTCCAAAAAAAAAAATGATGTATTATGATATGATATTTTATATATATCTATGTATCTATATCTATATATTTATGAAATATGATAAAAATATGTTATATTATTCCAGATTTTATTTTAAACCATATATTAGACTAATCTACAGACTCATAAGTTACTCATAAATACTAGTGGCATTCCGTTTCAAATGAGAAGTGACTCATCACTGATAGTAAAATTACTTTTTAATAATCTTAGCTTTATTTTTATATAAAACTTTTATATAAAACAATGTTGTGTTTCTATATTTGTTTAATTGAGGGCTATGGTGTGGACTCGGCACATTTAAATTTATGTTACATTGAAGACATTTCATCTATTATTATTTTTCTGCTTTACAATCACAAACAAAATCATTACTTTTTATATTAAGCACAGTACTATTTTTCTACAGACACTTTTTTAAATCTAATTGCTTTCATTCTAGGCCAAATGTCCGTGATATGTTCACCACTGATAGTACAAATATGGAAGAACAGAGATAAATGTTTAATATTACTCTAAAAATTAAAGTCTTGGGATATGTTTGTAGTTAATCATTTATTTAGTGACAGACTGTTTTACATAAGATTTACTTATAGATACTTAAATTTTCAACTAATACTACTACTTAATTGATTTTTATAGCAAAACGATTTCAACAACAAGTTTTATTAGGCCTGTTGTATTACTTCCGGTCTATACTACATTAAGAATCTACATAAGCACTGAAATAATTACTTATGTTAAATGTATATAAAATATGGTAATATAATAGTTACTATTTTTTTTATAGGAAAGTGATTTTAATATCTTATTTAATTGGGACTATAGAAATATATTTCCAATCTATACTATTATACATAAATAATCTATATAGGCCCTAATGCGATTACTCTCTTAAATACGATTAGAATGTTAAATTAATAATAGTGAAGCTATTTTTTTTTTGGCGAAACATTTCTATAGTCTGGAAGTATTATAATTGTGAAGAAATTTCCGGTCTACAGTAATTGAAGAATCTGCATAGAAAGTGTAGAACCTATTTTTTTTTGGTTGTTTATAGCAAAGCGCTTCTACAATCCGGAATTATTGGGTCTATGAAGATATTTCCGGT